GCTGGTGTGGGGGGGGGGGGGGGCACTAGCTGCACCCCCTCCACCCCCAGCAGACCAGGGAGACGGGGATGGTGGGACCGCCCAAGTCCTCCAGGGCTTGCTCCGTCTTCCTGGTCTGCTGACCTGGGAGACGCGGAGCAAAGCTGCAGAGTACGCGGGCAGCGGGACAGTCCAGGCACGCCGTGGCTGTCCCACTGCTGGCGTGCTCCGAGGCTTTGCTCCCCATCTCCCTGGTCTGCTGGGGGGGTCCAGCAGCTTTGCTGGACCCCCCCCCCGCAGACCAGGGAGACCGGGAGAAGCTTCTCTTGCCCCAGAGGACACGGGTGGTGACCCGACGCCCTTGAGCTCCGGGGCAAGAAAAGCCCCGTTCGTAAGTGCGGATCCGACGTAAGTCGGATCCGTGTAAGTCAGGGACTGCCTGTACTGGCATAATGCCAAGGAAACTACTCTGCTTGACTGAGATCTCAGGCTGAGTTTGTGTGGCTGGCAGTGGCAAGTAAAGAATATATTATTAAACCCAGAAAGTGAGCGTATTTGCTGTTGTGATTGACACAAATGTGGAACTTGGCAAAGTCATGTCTCGAGTGCTTTTTCAGATCAGACACACATTTTGCCCTGGTCTACACTGGATTTGTCTTTGCAATGTTTGTGGCACTGGTGCAGCCACATCATCGTAGGTACACTGATGGCTAAAAACCACAATGTGGACAAAGCCTTGAAAGTTCCCTTTTGTTATGGATGCCCAACAAAATGTCACCTGACTAGAGTATAGAGACTTGCTAGAAACTATCAAGCAAGCTTACCATAACCATTTAAAGGACTCATTTACAGTTAATGCTCTTGTCTTTTCAGGTCAGCTTATGTTTGGTATGATGAGCAGTGCCAACATACATACTAATCAAGAAACAGCCCAGAGGTTCACTGATGAATTAGCTGAGCTTTCAAAAAGAAGCTACGTAAGTAAGATTGTTCTGTTTTAATAATCGAAGTGGTATTCAGGGTTCTAGACCCTACAAGAGAAGAGGCAATTCTTAATTTAGTCTCAAGTGAAGTGCAGGATCTGGTCCAAGAGAAGAATATAGCTGGACTTCCTGGAGATAGCACATAATATAATCGGGCCCATATGCAGAGGGGTGCAAAGGTCTCCAAAGTAAGACCAACATTATTCATAAATAATCTGGAGACAGGGGTAAACAATGAGGTGGCAAAATTTGCAGATACCATCAAACTGCTTTAAATAGTTAAGTCCAAAACAGACTGTGAAGAGCTTTGAAAGATCTCACAAAACTAGGTGACTAAGCAACAAAATGGCAAATGAATTGGAATAGAGAATGTGACGGAATATTTTATTGCCTCTATATAAATCCTTGGTACACCCACATCTTGAAAGCTGTGTGCAGATGTGGTTGCCTCAAAAAAGATGGCTTGGCATTGGAAAAAGTTTAGAAAAGGGCAACAAAAATGACTAAGGGTTTGGAACTGTTGCCAAATGAAGAAAGACAGACTTTGATAAGACAAACTTTTCACCTTAGAAAAGAGAAGACTAAGGTGGGTGGGGAGGATCGGATAGAATAGAAGTCTGTAAAAGCATGACTGGTGTGGAGAAAGTAAATAAGAAAAAAGTTATTTACTTGTTTCCATAACACAAGAACTAGGGGCCACCAAACAACATTAATAGGTAGCAGATTTAAAACAAACAAAAGGAAATATTTTTCATACATAATAGAGCTTGTGGAACTCCTTGACAAAGGATGTTGTGAAGACTATGACTTTAACAGAGTTCAAAAAAGAACTAGATAAATTCACAGACACCATTTCTCTCCCTCTTTCCTGGGGTCAGAGGGTGGGGGAGAGAGAAGGGAGAGATACTAACTAGGGATATAGTTAGATGGCAGTTGAACAAGCATATGGTCACATTTCAAGAGTGAGAACACACCATTATGTGCATTTGTGGACAAGGAAGAGGTAGAGAGAAAAATTATCGATAAACTTCAGTAGGTCAAATTGCAATGGTGCAAGCAGGTATAATGTTCCATCCCCTTTTCATTGTTGTCTGGTCCTCCTTTAGCCACAGACTTTTTATTGTAAAGCTGTATAAAGAACCTCGGCTAACTTATTCTCCATGCTCTGATTGTAGGATAAACTTCAGAAGGACACTGCAGACAGACGAACTAGATGCGCCTGGGAGCTCCTGACAAGTGAGAAGAACTATGTGCACATGCTGGAAACCGTGAGGAATGTTTATGTTATACCACTAAAAGCAGCATTAGGATCAAATCGAGCCATCCTAAGTCATAATAATGTTCAAATAATCTTCTCTGATATCTTGGATGCCTTACAACTCAATAGGTATGTTCTATAAGCTATATTTTAAATTTACTAAGCGATTAAATATTTTGGGTTAAACAAAAACCAAATCTTTGGTTAGCACCATCTGCTGCATCTGTGCATGTTCTTTGATGAAGAGAAAGATTGTCCAGTACATGACACCAAACTCCTGGCTGAGGGACACGACTTGATTAACAGCTATCTGTCCAATCTTGCTTGCATGACAGGCAGATGATTTTAGAAAGTAATGGTATTGCTAATTACTGACCTTTCTGTACCTCCATGCACAGGTACATATAGCTTTGCAGAATATGACCAAACTATTAACATGAACAATTAAAACGGTTTCGGTTTTGGTAAAATTATGGTAGATTTTACACTGAGTGCTACAAAAGTATACAATCATATCTGACTAGAGATAGAGAAGAAAATGCTCAACCCTGTGGGAAGGCACAGTACTAAGATAAAAAGGGGTATACATTGTGGAAGCAGCATAGTCCAGAGAACAAGATACTTGAATAAAAGTTGGGAGTCCAGGGGGCATTCCCAGCTCTGTGTCAGACTCATTGTGTGATACTCACTTATCACTGCTTCTGTTTTCCCATATTTTTCAAATTGGAAGCCATATTTATCACATATGAAAAGGCTTTGAGAGCTATAAAAGCATGCTTTGTAAGTGCTAGGTATTTATCAGTGAGCGTGATAGTAATATGCAGGATGAAAAACTGGAATCTTGTTCTAATCTACAAATATCCCTTTGAAGTCTTAATATACTTGAAGTGTCAGATATAATGAAGGTTCTGATCCTGCAATCATATCTGAATGGGGCAGATCCTGAATCTACACAGAGCCCTCTCTGAAATCAGAAAGGCTACGCACTGGCAAAGGAGTTCACAGCATACAGCTGATTGAACCCCTCTCTAAGTCATGATTCTGCAAACTAAACTCCAGATCTCAAAGTTCATAGTTCAAAGCTCATAGTTCAAACCTAGTGGGTCAGAGTTGGGCAACCCAAACTTTAGATCTGGATTCTGAATCCTAAACTTCAAGAATTGTTTTTACTGCAGTCTTGATTCAGCTTACATTAGACATATGAAGGTGAGATCAGAATCAGATCCATGTTTTTGCTTCAGGCCCAACTCCAGTAAAAAAGATTTAAAAAAATCATTTCAGTGACAACTACTGCATGTCTACAAACAGAAAGAAAGAGACAAGAGTGAAATAAACATGATTTGGAATAGATTGCAAGGAAAGCTATGAGTTGAATAAGCAAGGTTACATAATAAAAGACATCAAAAGAATGTAAGCTAGAGCTCTTGTTACTGAAAAAAGATTTAAAAGGTCAATTTTAAACCTCTAGATAAATAAAATCTGTAAGAACTCAAAGCTTAGGTAAAAAACCAGCTAAAATACTCTATCCTCCCATAGGAGAATATCTGTCAACATCTGAGATGATGTAGGTATTAAGTAAAAAAATAAAGGAAAAGTATCAAAGAAAGCTCCATTAACCTAGATTAAAAGTGTTCAGATTGTTAAAAGCTGTACTTCTTGCATCAATTTTTAACAATTTTATAAGGGTAAGCCAGGAATTTAGATCTGATTAATCTTACAAATTAAAACCAACATACCTATGTTTTTTATTTTTCTTGCAAGTTGTGTACACATTTTCCATTCTGCCAGTTTAAAAAAAATGTTGCAATTCAGATGATTAAAAGTAGGCCCAGGGCCAATATTACGCAACAGTTTAACATCATTTGTGCTATAGGAGCTACTTGGAACAGGGAGTGGGGCATCAGTACCTGAGAAAAGAGAGATTCTGTCAATAAAAAAAATACATGCATTTCCTTATGCAAAACTTTGGAGAGCCTAAAAGATAAACTTTGTAAATCTTTCAAGGCAGTAACAAAAGGTTGATTTTATAGGCAACCCAAATGTTTAATGTTTAAATAAGAACTTATATTTAGTGTGTGTCATCAGAAGGATCCCAAAGCACTTTATGAAAGATATAGAAATCACATCACATCACATCACTCTTCATTGCCAGCTCTGGGATGAAAACATGGCGAATGTATAACAGCTTACTATTAACTCTAAACAGCAGTATAGAACAAGAAGAAAATTGTATCCAGTTAAATTAGAGTGGGATTTTTTTTAACACTTGAAACAATGTAGTTAAACAATAATTTGTCCAAGAAACTATAGAAAGATATCTTTATTTCAAATATAGGAATTTTTTAAATGACCTAACTGAAAGAGTTCAAGAATGGAGTCCAACCCAGTGCTTGGGTGAACTATTCACTCAGTTTGGCCGGCACCTTCAAACATACACAAACTTCTTCAACAACTACACTATCATTCTGAAAACCATTGATACAGTAAGTACTCCATGACTGTGAAAATACATAAGATGCCAGTCTAATCTTCATTTATTTCACTGGAAACACTAGCTAATAATCACACTTAGTTGGACAGAAGAATAATTATGTTTCATAGATTAAGTTTATTTCCATGGAATCCATTCCAATATTCATATTCTTTGCATGTTGAAATATAAAAAATATCTAACTCAGAAAAATATCAGTCAGACTACAGAAACTATGAAAAATGAAGAGGATGATGGTCTTAGACTTAGCCACTGCTTCTTTGAAACCTATATGGTTAAGTTTGCCTGAATAAATGTGCCATTTAACACCTCTCATGGATGTATATAAATTATCAAGTTTTAGAAATGCCCATGCACTCAATTTGTATGAACAGATACCCTAATCTAATGCATATACAGAGGAGTTTGTTTGCAGACCTAAGCTTTTGTAGTATGTTTGTGCAAATCCTCATTGTTCATATGCATTCAAGTATTTGAGCCAAAACAAAGATTTATTTTTTATTTATATAGATATAGATATAGATAGAGACAGACAGACACACACAGAGCCAGCCCACAACATTTTGGCACCTGAGGCGGGGACTCAAATGACGCCCCCATGCCACCTTTTCTCCTGCCTGCCTGTTAAGTCTCTCATGCCCTCCTTCCTCCAGCACAGCACTCCACCATCTCTGTGCATCTAGAGCAGAGAGAATACATATGCACTAGCAGCAGACAATTTTCTACACTCTGGCAGGGCCGGCCCGAGGCATTCGTGTGTCCCGGGCGCTCGTCGCATGCGCGGCGCCACGTATAATGGGGCGCCCTGGGCGGAAGCTCGGTTGGCCTGTACCTTGGGCCGGCTCTGCACTCTGGGTCCTAGTGGTGCTTCCCTCCACCACAGTCTGGCACCTGAGCAGGCTGCCTCAGTTCACCTCATGTTAAGTCCAGCCCTGCACGCACATGCACACATATGCACGCGCATACACGCACACAATGTCTTCCAACTAAATAATCATCCTGCCTTCAAAGCTTATTGTGCATGCTTATTGTGATGACATCTTAATAGCTACCAGTTTCCTTGTATAGTCCTACTATAAATCTACGAAGTAGTATTTAGAAATTGTCCATAATTCCAGCACAACTGATGCTAGAGTTTAAAGAGACACAATGTTGACAGAGCTAACGGGACAGCCATTTATGCCCCTTTTTCATTTTAATTGGTGCCATTAAACTTTAAAAAGATCCTTCACGATGATTACTACTGCACCATTGATCTCCAACTCTAGGCTTGGTGATAAAATCCAGGGAACAAGGCTTGCTTTAGGGATGTGAAAGTATAACCATGTAAACGGTTAACTGATGAGCCTGGGCTCATTGGTTAACATTCACAGTTACATGCTGGCTCCTGGTACACGCAGGCAGCTGGTGTAAAAGCTGGTTCCCGGGGAGCCACCTGCCTCCCAACATGACTCCCAGCATGCACCAGCTCCTGGGGAGCTGCCTGCCCTCTCGCAATACTACCTCTGATTCAGAGGCAGCAGTGCAGGGAGGCAGCGGGGAGCTGGTATGTACAGAAAGCAGCTTAAAACCTGGCTCCCTGCGCTGCTGCTACTTATACAGGGGCAGCAGGTCAGGGCAAAAGGTGGGAGCTGGTACACGCAGAGAGCCAACTTAAAAGCCAGCTCCCTGCACGAACCAGCTCCTAGGGAGCTGACTGCCGCTCCACATGTAACTGCTATAATTTTCAGCAATTACATGGTTACTTACACACATTTTAACATCCCTAGTTTGCTTGAATGTAGATGCCAGAGTATGTGGCGCACTGTTACCTTGCGAGTGGTAAAACTTTGGCTCTGAGAGCCATGCTTATCAAGCTGATGATCCTTATTTCCTCCTGCCAAGGAAGCAGATTTGTGCTCGCTTGCTCTTTAAGGTTTAGAAAGTTGTCCAGCCCAAGAACAGAGATTTCAACGCTGTCACATTTCCTGTTCTGGTGGGTTGTTCACAGTCAATCAAATGACAAAATATACTTGGGAGGGGGGTGTCACAGAAATTTATATTTACTTCTCTTGTTGGATCACATACCCCTTTAAAGGATACTTTTGTACAAAGTCCTATTACAGCTGGGAATATAAAAGTCTTTATAAAATTATTTTAATTACAGTATTAAAAAACCTCCATTAGGCTGGTCTCTAACAATCAAGTTATACTGATGGTAAAACTTCTTTCATAGTGCAGAGAGACCATTCCTTTATTCCGTGCCTTCTTGAAAAGACATGATAGGACTGCTGTTACTAACATGATGAGGTAAGGGGCTGTGGTATTCACACTGTGACATAGCATAAAATCAGAATTCTGGGCTTTGGATCAATCCATTGTGAGCATCCCAACCTCCTAACTCAATTTAAAAAGCAGTATAAACAATTAAGTGTGTCAATGAAATCTTAGTGCAAATACATTAGTCATGGGAGGTGTATGAGTTGGCCCATAGTGCAATATCTGTTCAGTTGTAATTCTTGTAGGACTAAATGGATCCAGTATTCATGACATTTTCCAGGATCTTTCCTTTCTCATGGGTACTCTACCAAAATGTAAGGGCGTGAGAGCACACACAATGAAGACGTTTGTCAGACGGGACTGGTCAGATTTTTAAAGAAAAGGATTCTGACTTTGCATCAATGTCATAGTGGAACATTAGCAATTGCTGTGTTCTTTCTTGCAGTAGAGAGCCAGACATGTTAAGACTTATTTGATTAGCAGATTTCTCAAATCAGTAGGCAGACTCATCATGTGTGCATGTTTGGCACACTGCTTCAAGCTGATACGTGATCCACAACTCTCTCAGTATGGGAGCACCAGTTCTAGCAGGTCAGCCAAAGAACGGTTTTCCAGTGTGTATCCTGTAAGCGTCATGCTAACCTAGTCCCCATTAGAAGTCATGCTGTATAACTTACAATACATACGTCAGGTTCCTAGCTAATGCATGCATTATATCTCTGAAATGTAGGCTACAGGAACTGCTGCTGTGTCCTTATAAAAGATTTGAAGAGTATCTTAACCTTCTTTATGCTCTGAGACTGTACACTCCTCCAGAACATGCTGACCGGGAAGATTTGACTTCTGCAATAAAGATGATGAAACAATACAAGGAATACATAAATCAGGTCTGTTATCAGAGATATCTCTGTTCTCTCCTTTCAGTGTGGTATTCGTGTGGGTGCCTCATAAGACAAAACAAGGAGCCAAGACATTTGAGAGAGAGTTAAGGCCATGAGTTGCCTTCCATTTCAGATACCTTTGCTAGGAAGAGCTGCTTCCCCCTCTAATTTCAAAGACAGGAAAAGACACAATGTTCTATGAATTCTATAAAAACATTGGGTTATGAGTAGAGTAGTCCTTTTTGAGGGACTTTGAAAATGTCTTGGACTTCTATAAAGTCCCAATCCTTGACTAGATTTGTGCAGCAGTGTAAAAGGAGCATAAAAATGGGCAGTGTCCCCAGTGAATACCACCTGCATAACGGGTTTTCTTAGATGGTGAGATGCTGTTGGAAATGCCAGAGATGAGAGGGCCTTGCACTCTAGCTGTTCTTCACTGATGGATGACCTCTACTTCATTAACAACTACACAGATAATCTTCCTCTACAGAAAAGAAACTAAGCTGGCTCATGAGGCATGAGAAAACACCTACCAGTTGGTACATTTACTCTAAGAAAGTGATGGGAAAAAAATCTCCACACACAACAGAGGATTTCAGAACATGAAGGATTTTGTCTGACTCATTTTACACAAGTAATTTTCTTGGTAAAAAATCAGTGGGGTGAACTTAGTTTAACAAAACTGCTATGTAATTCAAATATCACTGTACCACCTAGAACTGCCCACATATGAATCAAGGTCTCATAAAAGCTCAATGAAGTCTCTTCTTTTTACCATTTTTTGTGGTCTTATCTTTATTTTCTAGCTAAAACTGAATACGAGCAGGGATGAGCACATGATAACTGCACAACGAGTCATCCAAGGATGTCCTGTAAGTACTTAATTTTCCATTAGAACACTCAATGCATTTTATTTCAGCTCTGATTTACAGCAGCCTCTATATATCAGAGAGTTCAGATTTTGATAGTCCTTCCATTATTAGTCTCATTTTAGCATTCAGATTCTGGCCCCATTGAAGTAAATGGCTAATTTCCATTTACCTCAATGAGGCTTTAATTTGACCTGATGTACATAGAATTCCACAAGAGTGAGTGAGTTTTACAAATATGACATCCCCAGAGGCATTTCACAACTTTCTCCTGTTGGAAAGACCTTTGCTCTGAGTGTGGGCTTAGGACCATTCCTCATGAACTCCCCAGAATTCTGTCTCTCCAAGCAGTGCACACGCCAGGCACCCATTGGAGTGGTGCTTTGATAGGATTTCTAAACAGTTTTTAGCAAAGTGTCTGTTTCTTCATTGGCTTTAAACTTTTCTTCCTCCACAAACTGCAGAACTGAATATATGATGTCTTGTAAGAAGGGTTTCAGGGATAGCACCTTTTCTCCCCCTCCACTCTCAGAAAAGGGGAACAGACAGCAGGCTACAGCAAAACCCAGCTCTCAGCTGACATGGGGCACGAGGTGCAGCCAAGACAGTGGAGCAGGATGAATAGAAGTGCCCTATATGGAGATCAGGTCAGATTTAGTGACACAGAACTAAGAGATAGGTTTTTCTAAACTCCCTGCCTCTCGCTTAGGGACAGGAGCCCTATTCCCACTGCTTAAGGAACAAGCAGAGAAAATCCAATAGTCTCCAGAGTCCCAAGAGAAGGCAAAGTTTGAGGAATAAATTCCTGCTCTCAGCTGGCAAGATACAAAGGTCCATGTTCCCTTTCCACAAACCATTATATTACAAGGCCTCCTGTGACCTGGTATCAGAGTCACTTGACTCCAACAGCTCTGCTTCACTCATCGTTCTGTGCAGTCAGCTCCTATTCAAGCCTGAACTCAGCCAGAGGGAGTATAGGGGAAGTCATTGATATCTCTCGCCCTGGGAAATACATCCTCTCTCTATCAAGCCTCCAAGGATCCAACAGGAGATCAAAGTGGATACTGTTCTCCTGAGGGACTTATGAAGATTGTCCTTTACCACTCTCTAGCTCAAACCCTTGAGAAAACTTGGGAGGCAATCTTATAGAGCACAGAGGGTAAGAACCTTCCCCACTTTTCTGAGGAGTTTGCTTCCACTAGTAGGAACAGCAACAAAGGCATGCAGTTCACTTAAGACCTGAAGTCCACAAAGAGATACAAATAAAGTGCTCCCCTTTTTGGACTTGCAACTTCTCCAAAGATATTCCCAAATGCCGGATCATCCTTCTCTGTCTGTACCCTGGTCCAATGACCTCATCATATTATACAAGGCCCAGCAGCTACATTGAAAAGCCAATTACAGCCATTCCAAAACTCCAATTTTTGGATATCTCTAAGCTATCATCCAAGAAAATCTCTCAGAAGAGAAAACAGCTGATTTGCCAATCACCTGAAATAATTTCTGACTCCCCTACTGCTGGGAATACTCAGCACTTTTTTTTTTTTTTGGCGCTTCCAGACAGCAATCACAAAAGATCAATATATTTAATATTTTGATCTAGGTCTGGTACTAGATCTCATTCTCAATACTATTTAACAGCTGGTTGATATCAGGCTCTAAATACAAATACTAGGCACCATAGAGGGAGAAACATACCTGGAGTTCTACATGAGTTGGGGAGGTGTGACCCAAGGAGGCAACATGGAGTAATATAAACGGTCTCATGCTATGAAAGGGTGAGCTTGATGGCCCACTTCCAGCAGATGATTCTTCAGAAAATTGGTAAAGACAACTGATATGGCAGAAAGCCTTCAGCACTGCTTTGGGTAGCATCCTTGTTTGTGTCCTGGGCAGAAGGCCGCACTGTTCCTCAGGAATCTGAATGGAAAAAGGAAAGTCCTGGCTGAGCAGCTCATCAAGACACTTAAATTAAGGGAGTGCACACTACAGGATACACCTGGTTGGAAGCCTCTTGAAAGAAAATAGGTTCATTAAGTCCAGTTGGAAAAAAGAGGTGGTACATGAGGATTTGGAGGCTACAGTCAGCAAGCGGTCTAAAAGGCCTTTATGCCTTTCCACCCCCTAATTGCCCACTGAACAGAGGTTAAAGAAAATTTTGAAGGAACAGACCAGAGTGATTATAACCACTGTCTCATTAAGTTTAGGTCTTGGGTCTTAGTTCTGATTTAGATGTAACTGGAATCTCCTTTTAACATTCAAACAAGACAAAATGCAGTATAAGAAGAACCTATCCTGACCCAATATCCAGTGCTGCCTAACCCATCAGCTGGGAACCTAAAAGGATGCAACTAGAATTCCTCGCTCAATGGTGATTGTCACCCTCCTGAAATGCTGAAGAAACAAAATCACAAAATGTCTACCTATGAGTTACTGAAGATTAGATGATGTTGTCCGAAGGCAGATTTTCTCAACAAAATGTGCAGGGTAGAGAAGGCCTTCATGTTAGAGACATAAATCAGGGGAAGGTTAGCTGAAGCAAAGCACAGTAATGTTTTTACAAGAAGGCACACACTCTGGGCACTAGCCCAACATTTTTTGGAAACGTTGGCCAGGGACTAGACACATATTACATTATAAGAAACCCAGGAGAATGTCTCATTGTTACATA